TTATATTGTTATTTATGGGTTTTTTTTTTAACATACTGTCACCCTAGCAGTACAGTGTCATCATAGTGACAAATTAGTTCATAACCAAAAATTATAATTTTTCTAAAAACATTTTTAACATTTTTATTTTTTTTTATATTATTGTTTTTTTTTTAACATACACCCTAGCAGTACTACTTATGGGGGGGTGATGACATTTTTTTTTTAAAAGGCAAAGGGTACACTGCACTCGTATGATTTTTTTTTTGCATTTTTTCGCTGGGATTTTTTTTTCTTTTGCTATATAAATGAAAGTGTCCAAACATTTTGAAAAAAAAGTGTTTTTCTTATAAAATTTTGCAAATAAATAATCTTTTCTCATAAATATTGGCCAAAATGTATTCGGCTATCCTTTTAATAAAAAAAAATAAAAATAACCCAAATTAGTTTATAACCAAAAATTATAATAATTTGTTAAAACTTTTTTTACATTTGTATTTAATTTTTGTTTATAATTATATTTTATATTATTATTTATGTTTTTATTTAACATACTGTCACCCTAGCAGTACAGTGTCATCATAGTGACAAATTAGTTCATAACCAAAAATTATAATTTTTCAAAAAACATTTTTAACATTTTTATTTTTTTTTTTTATATTATTGTTTTTTTTTTTTTTTAACATACACCCTAGCAGTACTACTTATGGGGGGGTGATGAAGATTTTTTTTTTAAAGGCAAAGGGTACACTGCACCCATATGAATTTTTTAGCATTTTTTTGAGACAGATAAAACTTAATTTGGTGGTATTTTTATTCACCGCTGGGATTTTTTTTTTTTGCAATTTAAATGAAAAAAGTCCAAACAATTTGAAAAAAAAAAGTGTTTTTTATTATAAAATTTTGCAAATAAATAATCTTTCCTCATAAATCTTGGCCAAAATGTATTCAGCTATCTTTTTAATTTAAAAAACAAAAAAAAAAACAAAAAACAAATTAGTTCATAACCAAAAATTATTTTACAAAAAAATATTTTTAACATTTTTATTTTATCTTTTTATATTATTATTTATGGTTTTTTTTTACATACTGTCACCCTAGCAGTACAGTGTCATCATAGTGTCACTACTACTTGTGGGGGGTGATGAAGATTTTTTTTTTTTTTAAAGGCAAAGGGTACTTTAGTGGTAAAACTGTGGGAGGACGTCAATTCCAGACACTCATTCATGAGCTGGTTATTTTTTACTTCACCCCCTTCCAGTCCGGACACTTTCCCCCCCTTCCAGTCCGGACACTTTCCCCCCCCCCTTCCAGTCCGGAAGTCCGGACACTTTCCCCCCCTTTCCAGTCCGGACACTTTCCCCCCCTTCCAGTCCGGACACTTTCCCCCCCCCCCCACTTCCAGTCCGGACACTTTCATTCCCCCCTTCCAGTCTGGACACTTTCCCCCCCTTCCAGTCCGGACACTTCCCCCCCCTTCCAGTCCGGACACTTCCCCCCCCCCCCCCTTCCAGTCCGGACACTTTCCCCCCCCCTTCCCTTCCAGTCAGTCCGGACACTTTCCCCCCCCCTTCCAGTCCAGACACTTTCCCCCCCCCTTCCAGTCCGGACACTTTCCCCCCCTTCCAGTCCGGACACTTTCACCCCCTTCCAGTCCGGACACTTTCACCCCCTTCCCCCACTTTCCCCCCCCTTCCAGTCCGGACACTTTCCCCCCCCTTTAGTCCAGTCCGGACACTTTCCCCCCCTTTCCAGTCCGGACACTTTCACCCCCTTCCAGTCCGGACACTTTCCCCCCCTTCCAGTCCGGACACTTTTTCCCCCCCCCTTTTATCCCTTCCAGTCCAACACTTTCCCCCCCCCCTTCCAGTCCGGACACTTTCCCCCCCTTCCAGTCCGGACACTTTCACCCCCTTCCAGGCCGGACACTTCCCCCCCCTTCCAGTCCGGACACTTTCACCCCCTTCCAGTCCGGACACTTCCCCCCCCTTCCAGTCCGGACACTTCCCCCCCCTTCCAGTCCGGACACTTCCCCCCCCTTCCAGTCCGGACACTTTCCCCCCCTTCCAGTCCGGACACTTTTTAACCCCCTTCCAGTCCGGACACTTTCCCCCCCTTCCAGTCCGGACACTTCCCCCCCCTTCCAGTCCGGACACTTTCACCCCCTTCCAGTCCGGACACTTTCCCCCCCTTCCAGTCCGGACACTTTCCCCCCCCCCATTCCAGTCCGGACACTTTCACCCCCTTCCAGTCCGGACACTTTCACCCCCTTCCAGTCCCGACACTTTTCCCCTCCTTCCAGTCCGGACACTTTCCCCCCCTTCCAGTCCGGACACTTTCCCCCCCTTCCAGTCCCGGACACTTTCCCCCCCTTCCAGTCCGGACACTTTCCCCCCCCTTCCAGTCCGGACACTTTCACCCCCTTCCAGTCCGGACACTTTCCCCCCCTTCCAGTCCGGACACTTTCCCCCCCTTCCAGTCCGGACACTTTCCCCCCCCCTTCCAGTCCGGACACTTTCCCCCCCCCCCCCCCCAGGCCAATTTTCAGCTTTCAGCGCTATCACACTTTGAATGACAATTGCGCGGTCATGCAACACTGCACCCATATGAATTTTTTAGCATTTTTTGAGACAGATAAAACTTTATTTTGGTGGTATTTATTCACCGCTGGGATTTTTATTTTTTTTATTTTTTTATTTTTTTTGCTATATAAATGAAAATCCAACATTTTGAAAAAAAGTGTTTTTCTTATAAAATTTTGCAAATAAATAATATTTCATCATCAATGTTGGCCAAAATTTATTCAGTTATCTTCTTAGTGAAAAAATAATAACCCAAATTAATTTATAACCAAAAACTATATATTTTAAACATATTTTTACATTTTTATTATATTTCTTATATTATTATTTGTTTTTTTTTTTTACATACTGTCACCCTAGCAGTACAGTGTCACCATGGTGACACTGTACTACTTGTGGGGGGTGATGAAGATTTTTTTTTTTTTACACTCATTGCTTTTACACCCATAAAGACTGTAGAAGCAATCATTTCTCCTTCTCTCTGGCTGCATTCCTGCAGCCATTGAGAAATACTGTGAGAGCTGTGATTGGTCACAGCTTGTCACATGGTACAAGGCTGTTGTTGTGAATGGCCCTGTACCATGTGATCTCTGTGATCATTCACAGATTTCACATGTAGTAAGCAATGATGTCAGAAGTGACATCTTGCTTACTACTCTGCATGTGATCACCGAATGGCCAATCACTGATCACATGATCGGGACCTCGCAGATGTCCCATACGATAGTCGGTGTTCCACTGTGTCCGGGGGACACAGCAGGCACCGGATCGCAGTGCTGTGCGCTCCCGGGGGAGCGCGCACAAGCAGGGGGTGGGGACAGGGGCAGACTGACAACTCATGGGGCCCCCGGGCAATAGGAGATCATGGGGCCCCTGTGTCCTTGACCAAATTCAAAATGCCAATGAAAAAGGTACCAGGGGCATCTCATGGGGCCCCCTACTGACCCCGGGCCCTCGAGCAGTGCCCGAGTTTCCAAATGGTCAGTCTGCCCCTGGGCTGGGAGGCCGCTTATATACAACAGCCGGACGGGAGGTGGTTGAGGATGACAGCGCTACTGTCCAGGGGCGACTGTTCTGCTCCTCCCCAGATACAAGTGAGTGCAGCCACCCCAACAACAACAAAGGAACGAAAACTAAAACTAATGCAGCCACCAGGTCTAATGCCGGGCATACATGGGTTGAAATTCAACCGATTTTTAGACCTAAGTATAATCGGCCGATTTTCGCTCTTTCCATGGCACCGGCCGATTTTCATGGCTCCTCCCCTATTCGGTGATCGGGCATGTTGGAAAATTCATGAAAAACAACCAATTTTCGACTCAATGATGGTCAAACCGTACGATCGTTTTTACGAAAAGAATACGCGCCATGAGCCGCGACCTGGAAGGAGCAGACGTTTCGCCTGTTATATGGGCTGAATTTATGACTCGGTCGGCCGATTTTCAAAATCATTGATGGCGCCATCGGATTACCGAGAGAATGACATTTTTGATTTTCAGAGGAACGATTTTTGGAATTCGACCCGTGTATGGCCTGTATAAGGATCGGATGAAATGATGAAATATATTACATTTTTTAGTTTAGATCCTCTTTAACCACTTCCCGTCCGCCCGTTGTATATAAACAGCCGGACGGTGGCACTGCAGGGTCGGGTGGCTGTTTATGAACGGCCTCCCCGCACCCTGCTTGTGCGCGCTCCCTGGGATCCGGTGCCCGCTGTGTCCTCCGGACACAGTGAAACACTGATCGTCGGACGGGACCTCTGTACGAGGTCCCGATCATGTGATCACTGATTGGCCAATCAGTGATCACATGCAAAGTAGTAAGCAAGATGTCACTTCTGACATCATTGCTTACTACGTGTGAAATCTGTGAATGATCACAGAGATCACATGGTACAGGGCTATTCACAACAGCCTTGTACCATGTGACAAGCTGTGACCAATCACAGCTCACTCAGTACTTCTCAATGACTGCAAGAATGCACACAGAGAGAAAGAGAAATGATTGCTTTTACATCCTATATGGGTGTAAAAGCAATCAGTGTAAAAAAAAAATGACACTGTACTGCTATGGTGACAGTATGTGAAAAAAAATAAATAAATAAAAAATAATAATATAAAAAAATAAAATAAAAATGTAAAAAAAAATGTTTAAAAATTATAATTTTTGGTTATAAACTAATTTTTTTTTTTTTTTTTTTACTAAAAAGATAACGGAATAAATTTTGGCCAAGATTTATGATGAAATAATATTTATTGCAAAAATTTTATAAAAAAAACACTTTTGTTCAAAATTTGGTAAAAAAATTCATATGGGTACAGTATTGCATGACCGCGCAATTGTCATTCAAAGTGTGATAGCGCTGAAAGCTGAAAATTGCCCTGGACAGGAAGGGGGGAAAGTGTCCGGACTGGAAGGGGGTAAAAGTGTCCGGTCTGGAAGGGGGTGAAAGCGTCTGGACTGGAAGGGGGGGAAAGTGTCCGGACTGGAAGGGGGGGAAAGTGTCCGGACTGGAAGGGGGGGGGAAAGTGTCCGGACTGGAAGGGGGGGGGGAAAGTGTCCGGACTGGAAGGGTGAAAGTGTCCGGACTGGAAGGGGGGGAAAGTGTCCGGACTGGAAGGGGGGGAGGGGGGAAAGTGTCCGGACTGGAAGGGGTGAAAGCGTCTGGACTGGAAGGGGGGGAAAGCGTCCGGACTGGAAGGGGGGGAAAGTGTCCGGACTGGAAGGGGGTGAAAGTGTCCGGACTGGAAGGGGGGGAAAGTGTCCGGACTGGAAGGGGGTGAAAGTGTCCAGACTGGAAGGGGTGAAAGTGTCCGGACTGGAAGGGGGGGAAAGTGTCCGGACTGGAAGGGGGTGAAAGTGTCCGGACTGGAAGGGGGGGAAAGTGTCCGGACTGGAAGGGGGTGAAAGTGTCCGGACTGGAAGGAGGGGAAAGTGTCCGGACTGGAAGGGGGGGGAAAGTGTCCGGACTGGAAGGGGGTGAAAGTGTCCGGACTGGAAGGGGGGGTAAGTGTCCGGACTGGAAGGGGGTGAAAGTGTCCGGACTGGAAGGGGGGGAAAGTGTCCGGACTGGAAGTGGTTAAAGACAACCAGACGCAACTTTACTGGAACCGCCGACTACGCAGCAATGTCTTTCTTGCTGATTTTGGAAATGTCTGTGAAGAAGTCGCATGCGCTGCGCGGGGGGGGGGAATCAGGGATTTTTTTTAATTTTTTTTAGAAACAACGTTGTCACTAGTCGTTTACGTTTTGTATGACACAACTTGTACAGTTCTGAGAATTGAATTACCATTTATTTGTTCAATATATAGATTGTGTAAAACAGAATGTCAGCACCTGACCGATTACCAAACCCAACCGAATAATTAAAGCCTGCAACAGTCACTTTTTTTTTTTTTTTAACCACTTGCCCTCCGAAAGATTTACCCCCCTCTTCATGACCGGGCTATTTTTATTTTGCTATTTGGCTTTAACTGAGGATTGAGCGGTCATGCAACACTGTACACAAATTATTATTATTATTATACAGTATTTATAAAGCGCCGATAGTTCGCTCAGCGCTGTACATTACAAAGGGGGACAGAACATGTGACAGAACAATACCAATACAATACAAAACATGAGGGGATCGAGGGCCCTGCTCTTTGGAGCTTACAATCTAGGAGGGAGGGGGTGGTGGCACAGGAGGAGATAGCTGTGGGGGATGGAGTGGTAGGAAGAGTGGAGGAGGTCGGCAAGTTAGCAGGGGGTGGGGTAGGCTTCCCTGAAGAGGTGGGTTTTCAGGGTGCGCCTAAAGGAGAGGAGAGTAGGTGATAATCTGATGGGTTGGGGCAGGGAGTTCCAGAGGATGGGTGACACCCTGGAGAAGTCCTGGAGGCGGGCATGGGAGGAGGAGACCAGGGAACTAGAGAGAAGGAGGTCTTGTGAGGAGCGGAGTGTGCGTGTTGGGTGGTACTTGGATATTAGGTCAGTGATGTAGTTCGGGGCAGTATGGTGGACGGCTTTGTACGTCAGTGTTAGGATTTTGAATTTGATCCGTTGGGCAATCGGAAGCCATTGGAGGGATTGGCAGAGGGGGGGTGGAGGACACTGAGTGGAGGCCAGTGGAGGGATTGGTAGAGGGGGGTGGAGGACACTGAGTGGAGGCCAGTGGAGGGATTGTCAGAGGGGGGTGGCGGACACTGAGTGGAGGCCAGTGGAGGGATTGGCAGAGGGGGGTGGCGGAAACAGAGCAGTTGGAAAGGTGAATGAGTCTGGCAGCCGTATTCAGGATGGACTGAAGCGGGGATAGCCAGCGGCGAGGCAGGCCAGTGAGGAGGGAGTTGCAGTAGTCGAGTCGTGATATGATGAGGGAGTGGATGAGCTGTTTAGTGGTTTCTGGAGTTAGGAACGTGCGGATTTTGGCGATGTTGCGGAGGTGGAGTCTGCATGTTGCGGAGGTGGAGTCTGCATGTTGCGGAGGTGGAGTCTGCATGTTGCGGAGGTGGAGTCTGCATGTTGCGGAGGTGGAGTCTGCATGTTGCGGAGGCGGAGTCTGCATGTTGCGGAGGCGAGTCTGCATGTTGCGGAGGCGGAGTCTGCATGTTGCGGAGGTGGAGTCTGCAGGAGTTTGTTAAAGATTTGACTTGGGGCTGGAAGGATAGGTTGGAGTCCAGAATGACACCAAGTACTCTGGCCTGCGGGGCGGGTTTGATGGTGGCGTTCTTGGATGTGATGGAGAAGTCAATGGGGGGTGGGGTCCGAGCTGGGGGGGAAGACTAGGAGCTCGGTTTTGGAGAGGTTCAGTTTAAGGAAGTGGAGCGACATCCAGTCTGATATGTCACTCAGTAGGTGTGTTATTCGGGCGGAGACCGAGGGGGTGAGGTGGGGGGTGGAGACCGAGGGGGTGAGGTGGGGGGTTGAGGGATAGATTTGTGTGTCGTCGGCATAGAGGTGATAGTTGAAGCTGTGAGAGTGTATGAGTTGGCCAAGGGAGGAGGTGTAGATGGAGAAGAGAAGGGGCCCGAGGACAGAGCCTTGAGGGACCCCAACAGAGAGGGGGAGGTGGAAGGCAGATTTGTAGCGGGTGAAGGCTTGTTGGGATTTGGTTTTGCGCCATAGTCGCTCCAGGACACGACTGCGTCGTTTAAGGGTTTTGGTGTGATCAGTCTGCCAGGGCTGGAGCGGTCGGGGTCTGATGTTGCGTGTGGTTAAAGGCGCTAGTGAGTCAAGGGCTGTTGACAGCACGTTGTTGTAGGCGGTCATAGCCAAGTCGGGGCAGGACAGGGGGAGGATGCTGTCGTGGAGTTGATCAGCTGCAGAGTGGAGGGGTGGAAGGGTTGAGGTTGCGGAGGTTACGGCTGGTAGAAGTGTGACATTTGGAGGGGTAGGCGTTGGAGGACGAGGAGATAGAGAAGGTGATCAGGTTGTGGTCAGAGAGGGGGAAGGGGGTGTTAGTGAGGTTGTGGGGAGCGCAGCGGTTGGAGAAGACAAGATCAAGGATATTACCGTCGGAGTGGGTGGTGGATTGTATGCACTGTGCAAGTGCAAAGGAGGAGGTTAAGTGGAGGAGACGGGCTGTGTCCGGGTTGTCGAGGTTGACAGGGATGTTGAAATCCCCAAGGATGATGGTGGGTAGCTCAGAGGAGAGGAAGAAGGGTAGCCAGGAGGAGAAGTCATCAAGGAAGTGGGGTATGGATCCAGGAGGCCGGTATATCACAGCAATCTTCAGGGGGGTTGGGGAGAATAGTCGGACGCAGTGGGCCTCGAAGGAGGAGAAGAATAGGGAGGGGGGATTTGGGAGGACTCGGAAGGTGCTCTGCGGTGACAGGAGCAGACCAACCCCACCACCTCTACCACCGTTAGGCCTGGGTGAGTGGGTCCAGGTGAGACCTCCGTAGGAGAGTGCAGCAGGGGAGGTAGAGTCAGTGGGCTGGATCCAGGTTTCCGTAATCGCCAGGAGGTTGAGGGAGCGGGAAACAAAGAGGTCGTGGATGGCGGTAAGCTTGTTGCACACCGATCGGGCGTTCAGGAGTGCACATGAAAACGGGGGGGGGGTTGTTAGGGAGCAGGGGGACAGATACTAAGTTACGGGGGTTGCGGCAGGACGTGGAGACGGGAGGGTGTTGTGTGGATGAGGGAGGTGGTGGAGGGCCAGGATTCGGGGAGATGTCCACCGCGGTTAGGAGGAGGAGAAGGGTGAGAAAGGTGGCATGGGAGCGGGATGTGCAGGAGCGTGAGAAACTACTAGTGGAGGTGTTGGGGTCAGTGGGAGAGTGGAGTAATAGGAGGAGGTGGTGGGTGCCGTAGAGGGGCGAAGGAAGCAGTGAGGACACAATATACAATTGTTTGGGAGGAGCAGAGGGATATAGTGAATGGATTTTGGGAACGAAGGAGAGGAGAATGAGAAGGAGGAGTGGAAGAGGCATTTTGGGAGGTGCCCAGGAGGGCGGATAGCAGTGGTGGGAGGCTTGGTTGTCGATAGTTCAGCGGGCAGAGGCGTATCTCATCGATATCTGGTGGCTGGAGTTTAGGAGAGAAGGGGGAGGGGATCAGGTGTGGATGGACGGTTTCCAGGGGCGCTTGAGTGGCGAAAGTCTGGGGTGCAGATGTGGTGGCTTTCAACAAGGGTTCAAGTCTTTAGGTCAAGTTGAGCTGGGGGTTGGTATGAGTGGAGGTGCTGACGGCCCGGCGTCTGGAGGTGGAGTGGGCTAGGTGTTGGTAGGCGCAGTAGTATTTACATTTTTTTCACACAAATAGAGCTTTTTTTTGGTGGTATTCGATCATCGCTGTTTTTTTTTTTTTTTTTAAGCAATAAATAAAAAAAGACTGGTGCTGAGCCCTCCCACATGGAAGAAAAGAATATATTTAAAATATATTTAAAAAATAGTCTTCCCAAACATATTGACATATATTTGAAATGCTCCAATTTTGGCCGTATTCAACAGAAACAATTGAGTACTGACGGGGTACTTTTTTTATTTGCACTAACATACGTGAGGACAAGCTTTCGGGGTGTGTCCCTTCTTCACGGTCCAGGAAGTACTACTACTACAAAGTTTTAGCAGAATGTTTAGAAGAGATGTTGCAAGGGGGAGGAAAACCCCCAGAAACAAACACAAACAGATGTACACAGCAATGGTTAAAAGACTGGGATTAGACTAGAGATAAAACACAGAAAAAGCAAAGACTGGTGGGGGGGGGGGGGGATACGATCACCTCAGGATATATTCAATATAAAAAAAAAATCATATATATTTATCTATTTATCTCTCTCTATATATATATATATATATATATATACATACAAATATAAATATTATATATCTATATCTACGTCCCATGTGCATGAGGACTAAATAGGTCACGCAACACTGTACACAAATCAGATTTAATTTGTTCACACAAATAGAGCTTTCTTTTGGTGGTATTCGATCATCGCTGTTTTTTTGTTGTTTTTTTTTTTTAGCAATAAATAAAAAAAGACTGGTGCTGGGACGTTTCCTGCATCCCTGTGACAAGCCCTCCCGCGTGGAAGAAAAAAATATATTTAAAATATATTTAAAAAATATTCTTCCCAAATATATTGACATATATTTTAAATGCTCCAATTTTAGCTCTATTCAATATATTTATTAAAAAAAATCATATATATACTAATATATATATATATGTTATCTATCTATCTATTATCTATCTATCTATTATCTATCTATCATATCTAATCTATCTATCTATTATCTATCTATTATTCTATCTATCTATCTATCTATTATCTATCTATCTATCTATCTATCTATCTATCTATCTATCTATCTATCATCTATCTATTATCTATCTATCTATTATCTATCTATCTATTATCTATCTATTATCTATCTATCTATCTATCTATCTATCTATCTATTATCTATCTATCTATCTATTATCTA